ACTGCACTACCTTCTGATAGAAAGTTGTAAAGAAGGCAGGTATTATCCCTTCATTCCTTTGGTAGGGTTAAATATTTCAGCTTTTAGCATAATAACTTGGCCTTTCAAAATGTCCCTTATACATTGAAGAGAGCTCTTTCTCGCAATAAGTTGTTTCCAGACTTTATCTGAATATATTGAGATGGACATAATTTAAAGTGAATGTGGTAAGATGTATTATTTGATTGATTTAAAAAGTGGGCAAAATTTGCATTCTGGGAAAAATGACAGCTGGCCATTGTATTGTATCTTTCTTTATTCAATTTGCCAGTATTTTGTAAAGAATTTTCACGGCTATATTCTTGAGAGATACTAGTCTATGACCTTTTACTTGAATCATTGTCAGATAGTTCCTATGAGGGTTAGGCTGTCCTAAAATTAATTGGAGACTATTAACTCTTCTCCTATTTCCTTAGAGTTAATATAAGACTGACATTACATGTTCTTTAAATATTGATAGAATCCTCCAGTCATCTGGGTCAACCGGGGCCTTGAGGTTTCTTTATAAAGTGGTATTTAATTAGGAATTCATGTAATTGGTGTTCACCTGCTCAGATTTTCTATTTCTTCTTCTGTCAGTTTTGGTAAATTATGGTTAAGTAATTTGTTCGTCCCTTCTAAGTTGCCAAATTTTATTGACTAAAATTTGAGATATTTTCCTCGTATGACTTCAGTTAAGATATTTTCAACCTCAGTACTGCTGATATTTTCTGTGGGAGGAGCCAGCACATTGCAGGCCATCTAGCAACATTGCAGTCTCTACCCACTAGATGCTGACGGCAGCCTCCCCAGTTGGGGCAATCTGAAGTAGCTCTAGGCATTGCCAAGTGTTCCTTGGGGGCAACACACACACACACACACACACACACACAACCTTCAGCTGAGAACCAGTGTTTTAATGTGTGCAGAATTTTCAGCGATGTTTCACTTCTGGTCCTTTGGCTCTTTCTGATTAACATGAGTTTTATAGGGTATACAGGTATAGCTCAGCTATGCCTACATTTTACCTGTGGATCAGTTTGTTCCCCTGGCTTAGATCATTAACACTTCTTTTTGTAACAAAGGAAAATTTTAAAAATTTCCCCTAAGAATACTTTATCAGTATCCTGTTAATTTTGAAATGCTGAGTTGATGGATATTAGCCAGTTATGACTATGGAGAGTACAGGTTGTCTGTGGAGGCATGTATGAGCATTTATTGAGTGTTATCCAGTAAAATTACTTATCCAAGTGGCTTTTTGGTTCTGTGAGGGACAAGCAATGAAGAACAATATTAAAATAAATCTATAATAAAACGTAGTCACATGAAACTGTTCTACCATCTAGTTGACAAATGGATATAAATTTTTACAATCTGGCAGCAATATTCTTTCTTCTCTTCTAGCTAAAATCTGCAAGTCTACAACATACAGCATGTTTACTGGGATAAGAAAATGACAGTGATGTTACTGTACCACATGCTGCCACCTGCCAGGGGTCAGAAATGGGTTTCCAGTCACCTCCCAGTGCAACGAGAGAGGACTTTAAAAGTTTTAAGTCTGCATAGCTCATAAAATGAAACATAATTTGGGTCTGAGAGAAATCGATCATTTTAGGATAACTTAGCTGTAGATAAAGAAAATTGGATTGGTATCTAAAATGGGAGCGACAGTCCTTTCTACTTAAGATAAATTAGATGGCATATTTGCTCTTACATGACATGATATAAAACGTTTCTTAAAATGGTGAGCTCCTTAGGTACTAGATTATATGTTTCACTAGGGCCAATGGAGAAACTTAAAATTAGTAGGAAATAATACTAAACCGAATAATCTGATGAGTATGAAGGGCAAAATTTTACTCCCTCAAAGACATCCATCCCCTAACTCCCAATGTCCAGGGAATGGTGTGTGAGCCAAGACACAACCAACACTCACACAGGCTATTTTCAGAACTTCAGAAGTAATGGAAATCACCTGTTTGGATGTTAAATATTATTTGGGACAGGTGACCCCTTTTTCCTTCAATTTTGTCCCTTCTGAATGAGAATGGCTCTGACTGCAATCGTCTGCCTCTTCTACCGTGGACTTGGGGAGCAGAGAAACTTTTTGTTTCCCAGTCTGTGGGTGAAAAGGGCTTCTGTTCCAGGGAGATTGTGCTCCTTACCTTACCTGTTGGATTTAGATGATGAGACTTAAATAAGATGCTGTCATGAGGCTTCATTGAGAGCAGTGAATGGATTTTGACTGTGAATAGACAAATCTTTGGAGGGCAGAAGTCTAATTGTGGCAGGCAGAACAACTGGCTCCTCTTGAAGCTAGCCACAGGTTGATCACCAGAATCTGTCAATGTTACTTTCAGAGGTCACAGGGACTTTTGCAGATGGGTGTGATTAAGGCTAAAAGCCTTAGCTATGAAGATTATCCTGGGTTAATCTGGGCTGGCCCCATCGAATCAGGCAAAATCTTAAAAGTTGAGAATCTCAGACCCTTATCACAGATGGAAGGCAGCTGCCACAAGCCGAGGACTGTAAGGGGTCTCTAGAAGCAGAAGACAAAGAAACAGACTCTCCCTCAGGTGTCCACCAAGGAATGCAGTCAACTTGATTTCACCCGAGTGACACCTGCATTGGACACTAGACCTACAGGAGGGAAAACTTCAGCTCCCCCCCCCCCCACCGAGCTTGTATTATTTTTGAAAACAATAACAGCAGTTGCTAGCAAGCACTATAGCAGGTGCTTCCCAGATGTGTTTCACTTAAGGAAAGAAGCTAGCACACCTCGGGAAGCACTGTCCATACTCTGGTCCTGGAGGACATCTCTGACCTCATCTCCCATAACTCCCTGTCTTGTTTTCTATCACATGTTCATCCTAATCTCCTTGCTGGCCTTTCAACCTGCCGAGCTAAACCCACCTGCCCTCTTTGTAGTAGATGCTTTCCTTAGGTAGCATACACATACACATCTCACCCCTTCACTTTCGTTAGGTCTTTGCTCACATGTCACCTTCTCAGCAAGACCTTTACTGCCCATCCTGACCCTAAATGTCCTAACCCCACACCCTCGTTTATCATTCTACCTATCACCCACCATTTTGTATGCATGGGCTTGTGGGCAGGGGCTTTCTCTGTGACAGCTGCATTCCCAGAACCTGGTACAGTGCCTGAAACAGAGTATAAGAATTTATGTTAAATTCTAATGTGACATATGTAACATAGACAGGGCATCAGGTCAGAGTCACCTTGAAGCCTTTTACAATGAGTTTTTTCTCAAGTGACTTCCTCATTCCAGTTCTTAGATAAGGTACGGGACTTTCCCTAAGGTTCTATCCTAAGAATAGTAGTTACATAAATTTTATATTTTCTTACAAAGAAGAAAAATGTAAAGAAAAGTTGAAAGAACAACACTCCAACATTACTCACCTAGAACCACAATTAATAGTCATTTTCTCACTGTCTATTCTCATTTGCTTAGCTTAACCTGAATTCTCATAAAACTTAAGTATTACGTACACACAGTGCAGAGACCCAATCCCAACCACATACACACAGTCACACAGAAGCAATCTCATCTTAAAGAAGTCTCTTCTCCCATTTTCTATTTATTGTACGTAGGGGAGATTTAAATGAGGTCTGACAGCTTCCATGTTCTTCTCTAAACCGTCTTCTTCATTGAGACTAGTGTCCTGTAAACTGAGTATCCTTGGGTATAAATACAATTACACTTGAGGCAAAAGTGGTGGTCTTTTCCTTCAAATAAAAACACAATGCTAAAGAAAACCAATAATTTCTCTTTTCATTGTTCAGTAAGAATCAACCCATAGCAAATGGTTGCGGAGGGCATGGCCCGACCCAAATGCTTGCCCGTTACCCTAACCATGCCTGGGCACTGGGGACTCCGCTCCAGATACTAATTGTAACAGCCTCCCGAGGTGACCATTTCTACTCGCCATAATTTGATCCTTGCTATGACTGCCCACTGAAGCTGCTTTGAATTATTCTATTACACAAACATCAGGGGACCAGTTGACCCCAAAATCCTAAACTTGGGTAAAACTCAGGTGCATTAAAAAATTAGCTGTTCTGCAACGCAGTGAGGTTGCAAATGCCAAGAATATTGGTTTTAAGCCAAATTTCAGGCGGGGACATGGTCCCTTCGGGTGTTTCCAAAGGGCGGCCTGCGAGATCCTCGCTCCGGGGGGCCAGGAAAGTGACCAGCAGGAACCCTAACTTGGGAGACTGCGGCGTCAGCAGCGAAACCCGCGTCCTATGTGCGCTGAGCGCTGCGCATCGTCCAACAGGTTAATCACTCTGCGGAGTTGGCGTCTATTTCTTTGCGCCCGATAGTGCCACATCCACGACTCGCCCTCATCCCACATCTTTACCTTCCGGGAGCGGAAGGAGGGGGGACCGCGCTTCCGCAGGCACATGGGGACGGCGGGGCCGGGGCAAGAGGGAGCTGCCCGACTTGTGGGGGTGACAGAGCGAATTTGGACCCCGAGTGAAGCAAAGGAGACCCGGGAGGCCG